GGTTTGAAGCAGATGAGTAAGTTCACCAAAAGTGTACTGTAAAAACATCCTTGGGTTGGGCACAGTTTCTTAACTGTTGAAATTGCAGGAGTTGGGGATGTGGCTCAAGCGGTAGTGCACTCGCCTGGCATGCGTGCGGGCCCAGGTTCGATCCTCAGCACCACATACAAAGGAAGTTGTTGTGTCCGCCAAATACTAAAAAATAAATATAAAAATTCTCTCTCTCTCTCTCTCACTCTCTTTAAAAAAAAAAAAAGAAATTGCGTACACAGAGTGAAGCAAGGGACATTTTATCAGTTTGTTCTTTCRAGTAGTTTTGAATTTTAAGTCTGAAAACATTTTAAAATAATAACTTCGGGGCTGGTGGTGTAGCTCAGTAGCAGAGCACCTGCCTGGCACGCATGGTGTCCTGGTTTCGATCACTAGCACCACAGATGATGATAATATTCGACCTCTGGCTATTGTGAAGAAAATGGACTGTGATTGGGACAGAGGAAGAGGCAGGGAGGCCAGTAAGGAGGCCAGCCACAGGGTCTGAACAGGACAGAGGGCAGATGGGACTGGAGTGGCAGAGGTGGAGAGGCGGGAAGGCCATTTCAAGGTCACAAGATTTGCTGACGGACAGAACGGGAGAGATGTGGCTTGGGCAGAGCATCTGCATGAAGCTGGTTTTGGTGCTTTGCTGAGATGGGATAGGGTGGGGGTGGAGGAAGAGCGGATTTGGGAGTGAAGAGAGGAGAGGGTCAGGCGGGGCACATCACTGCCCSAGGCCAGTGGCCTCCAGCGAGGAGACGGCAGGTGCACAGCTGGGTAGAGCCTGGCCCTCAGGGGAGTCAGAAGTTGGTGACCTGTAAATCCTCAGGCCTGGATGAGATCACCCAGGAAATGAGACCAAGAAGAAGGAAGGCCCAGGACAATCCCTACTCCATGAGTTCAGAGGCAGGAGAGGAGAGGTGGCCAACAGAAGGAGGGGACCCTCTGCACCATCAGACTGGACTGCACACCCCAAAGAGCAGGCCACGTTGAAGGCCACTGCCCCACACCCCAGAGGGAGCACTCACATCCCAGGCCTGAGCCTTAAAGAGCCCGGAGGTGCTCTCCCAGCCCCGTGGGGAGTCTGAGATATCCCCTCCCCTCAAAGGAAAAGAGAAACAGGGARCGGTGGCCACACCTGTAATCCCAGCTGCTTGGGAGGCTAGGGCAGGAGGATGGTGAGTTCAAAGCCAGCCTCAGCAACTCAGTGAGACCCTGTCTCTAAATACAATACAAAAAAGGGCTGGGGATGTGGCTCAGTGCTTGGGCACCCCTGAGTGCAATCCTCAGTTACCCCCACCCCCCAAAATGAAAAAGGTAAAGTTTCCAGCCATCCTGGTCAGCCTGAAGGCCTTGCCAACAAGAACACAGGGAGGCTGGAGCTGCGGCCTCCGTCTCATGACCAGAGGATAAAGCAGAGTGGACACACAGCAAGGCACCCACCCACGACATCACTTGGCATCAAAGGCACCCTTCCCCTTCCTGCCCCACAGAAGAGCCCTCCAGACACCCCAGGGTCAGGGAGGTGGCCTGGACTTTGAGGACACAGCGCAGGTCCTGCACAGGAAATCACCTCTCCCCCACTCCCACTAGGATGGGGTGGGAGCTGTCTCTGACTCATCTGTGATTCCAGCACCCAGATGCTGGCCAGGAGTGGCCCTGAGACCCAGTCCGGCCACTGGGTGAAGCACAGGCACAGGGTGGGGCTCCCCACAATGTGCTTTATTTTTTATTTGAGGGACTAGATTGAGCTGATCCGGCTTTTTGCCCTCTTCCCTTCTTCCTGCTGGGACAAGTAGCAGCCACCACGAGGTGACAGATTGAGGACAGAGGTCTGAATTCAAAAGGTGGCAGAGAGGAAGGGTGACAGGAACCTGGGACCTGATGGTGTAGTGGAGCAGAGGACCCCCCTGCGCAGCCTGGGCTTCCCACAGTAGATCTATGCCTGTGTCTCCATGCCGGTCGCTGTTCTACAGGGGAACAGAGGGGTCCCCCTGTCCCTTGGTGTGGATCTTGGCTGGTGTTTTAGTCAGCTTTTTTGGTCACAGCTGCTGTGATGAAAAGACCTGATGAGAACAATTAGAGGAGGAAAAGTTTATTTGGGGGCTCACGGTTTCAGAGGTCTCAGTCCATAGATGGTCAACTGGGTTATTCTGGGCCCAGCGTGAGGCAGATGTTCACACACACACACACACACACACACACACACACACACACATACACGTACCCCAAAGGCACACCCCCAATGAACCCTACCTGCGTACAGTTACCACCCAGTTAACCTCTCGGGGTTAATGCACTGATTAGGTTTAGACCCTCAATCATTTCATCACTAAAGTTTCTTGTATTGTCACACACATGAGCTTTTGAGGGACACCTCATATCTAAACCATAACAGCTGGTGACCTCTGAAATCTGGGCTTCTCCCACTACACTTATCAACTGTACTTATCAGGATCACTGTTTTGCTATGGAAATCAATTTGGAGGTTCCTCAGAGGACTAGGCCTGGGACCACCATACAACCCAGCTACCTAAAACATTCAAGTCATCCTTCTACAGTGAGCCATGCAGACCCCTTGATAGCAGCACAACTCACAATAGCCAAACTATGGAGCCAGCCCAGGCGTCCAGCAATGGATGAATGCATTTTTTAAAATGTGGTATGTATACACCATGGAGTTTTATTCAACCATAAAGAAGAATGAAATTATGTCATGTACAGGAAAGTGGATGGAACTTGAGAGTATTTTGTTAGGCAAAATAAGCCAAGCTCAGAAAATCAAGGTCATTTGTTTTCTCTCATATGTGGAAGCTAGAGAGGAAAAAGAAAATAAAACTGGGTGGGAGGATCTCATGAAAATCAAAGGGAAAGCAGTAGAATAGAAGACAGGGACGAGGGGGAGGGGAACACTGGGAAATGATTCTGGGCAAATTGTTATATTGTGTGCATGTACATGTCTGTAACAATGAATCCTACCATTATGTAAAACTATAATGCACTGATAAAAAAAATATGGAAAAAATAAAAAGCCTATATATGGTAGGATCCCAACTATATGACATTCTGGAAATGGTAAAGACCTGCCTAGCATATGTGAGGCCAGTTTATATCCCCAGCACAGGCATATAATCACCATCATCATCACTGTGCTAATCAAGGTAAATGATGTTATCTGTTGTATTAAATAAATCCTAAAATCTCAGCAGCTTGGGCTGGGGATGTGGCTCAAGCAGTAGCGTGCTCGCCCAGCATGCGTGAGGCCTGGGTTCGATCTTCAGCACCACATACAAACAAAGATGTTGTGTCTGCTGAAAACTGAAAAATAAATATTAAAATTCTCTCTCTCTAAAAAAGAAGACCTTTAAAATATCAGCAGCTTAACACAATAAAAGTTTATTTTTTGTTCATGTTACAGTCTGGTGCGAGTTGGTGGGGAGGGCCCTATGGTCCAGATCTAGAAAAAAAGCTTCCCATTTCCAGCCACATTCCAATGGCCAAGAGTTTGCCACATGGCCATGACACATGCTAGGAAGACCTCGGAGATTCAGTTCTTAATTCTCATTTTCTACACCTCTCTGCATGCTGGGCAGTGTGGGCCACCCCTGTCTTTCTGAAGCACTGTTCTGGGGCATCCTTCCTAACTCTAGTTTTCTCCAACACTCCCRCCGCTCCTCTTCCTGCACCTGCCCTGAAGGACTGGAGTCCTGAGCAGGATCAGAGTCCTCTCCTCATGCCCACTTTTTCTACTCTGCACCATCTTGCCTTTACCAGCTGCCTCAATGACAACTACACTCAGGACCCTCAATCTGTCCCAAGCCTGACCTCTCTCTTGAGCTCAAGACCTGGCCTCAAAGAACCTCTTGGACATGTTCACCTACACACATCTCAGAAACATCCCAAAACTATTAATATCCTCCTAAACCTGCTCCTCCTCTAAGGTTTCCTGTTATGAATGGAACCACCATTAACCCAAGGGCTCAAGCAGAAAGTGGGACACCATTCCTAACATCTTGCTTCAGGCTCCCACACACTGAGTCAATCATCAAAGACCCTGACAACACCCCCCCACACACACACACACACACAAACACACACTGGGGATTTAACCCAGAGGTGTTTTGAGCCATCGATATACGTCCCTAGCCCTTTTAATTTATTTATTTATTTTTATTTTGAGACAGAGTCTCACTAAGTTTCTTAGGGCCTCTTTAAGTTGCACAGGCTGGCCTTGAACTTGCAATCCTCCTGTCTCAGCCTCTCTAGTTGCTGGGATGAAGACCTCTGAAATTCATCCATTCCTCTGCCCAGACATGACCTCTACCCAAGTCATGTTGCCATTGCCTCCCACCTAGGCAGATGCAAAAGTCTCCCAAACTCTGCGGGCCCAAACCTTGATCCCTACATGGGTCCTCTAGATCTGTGCTTCTTTTGACCATTTAGCTGCATAGGAACCACCWGAAGAATTTGGTTGAGATCCAGAAGTTCTGGCCCCAGCAACCTGACGCTGATTCAGAAAGAAGGTCAGGGGCCAACTGAGAACTTACTTCTAACAGGCTGCCCTAAGCGACTCTTGGAGGAACTCAAGCTGCCACCGGGGTGAATACTACAGTCTGCGCATCAAACAGCGGTAAGACTTCCCAGAGCTGCCCAGTGCGGCAGCCACTAGCCACGTCTGRCTGTTTAAATTATGAAAACAAACTAAAAGATAAAGTTCAGTTCCTCGGACGCGCTAGCCACRTTTCAAGTGCTCAACGGCCACACATGCCTAGCAGCTACCCTGCTGAACAGAGCAGATTACAGAATATTTCCATCCTGGCTGGTGGCTGCTGAGCCTGGGATCTTCCCGGGCTGGAGGAGGGCCGAGAGCATCGAGCTCATTGGCTGGGGGGGTGGGCGGGGCGSGGCGCTTTGCTTTGATTGGGTAATTTCTCTCAGTGGAAACCCAATCATCAAAAGGCGGTGGGGGCGTAGCCAGTCTCCGCTGACTGGCCCGCCCCGAGTTCCGGAGCCCTCTTACCCCTGACAGGTCAGTTTAGCGGTGAGTTCTGACCATCTCGCTCCGTAGAAACCTTTCCRTTCTGGGTGCTTCTCCACCCCCGATCCGGGGATGGGGGTGAGAGGGAGGTCCTCCCACTCTCCGCCCCAGGAACCCTCCCCGCGCCCCCTRCCCGTCCCCCAGCCCTGCAGGCCCAGGGTGTACAGGTCCAGCCTCACCCTGGCTGCGCTCAAAGTCCACCCCTGTGAAACGGCATGGCCCTGGCGACCTGACAGACTGCTCTGCTGGGGAGGGCGAAGGGGAACGGGAGACTGAGGTGGGATCGTGTCCCCACAGGAGGATGGCTCAGGAGAAGGGTGGGAACCTGTCCGAGGTACAAGCCCGGATTGGGGCCTCCCACAACATCAACGAYCTGGACCGCAAGCTCCAGTTCTATGGCCGCTGGGCTCCAGATTACGACCAGGTAAACCCATCTGGGTCCTTGCCTGATTTTYCTATCAGTCAAATGGGAATAACCTTTCACCCCAGGAAAGCTGTAACAATGRTGAGAACCCTACCATCGGGTACTTGCACTGACCAGTTCTACTTCAGAGGCACCCCACCAGCTCATGACTGTCAGCCTCTATCAGGGACCTCCCCAACCTGAGACTGCAACTCGGGGCTGCCTGGAGATAGTGCCACTGAAGTATCACTGTGGATTAAGCACAGAGGGTCCTCAGCCGGCAAAGGAGCCTGAGAAGCTGAGCCCTCCTGAGGTGGGGACTAACTCTCCAGTCCTGGTCCCTTGGAGGTAGAGGGCACCTCATGCTTGGGTTTCCTCTCACTGTAGTCCCAGYAGGACCCCAGGCCCAGCACACACAAGCTTAGCCTGGCAGACTCCTGGACCACACTACACAGGGGTCCCCCAAAAAACCAGAGTACCCTGTTGCTAGGCCCATCACTGTCTGTCCAGGATGTGGCTGCCCTGCAGTACCGAGCCCCCAGGCTTGCTGTGGACTGTCTAACTCAAGCCCTTCCAGGCCCACCCCATGATGCCCTGATCCTGGACGTTGCCTGTGGCACCGGCCTTGTAGCTGCGGAGGTGAGACCCCCCTCAGACCCCCTCCCTTTCCTCAAGCCCCCGCCCCTGCTCAAATTCCCTGCCACCCCTGGACCTAGAATTCTGTCTCCCCTCTCAGAGTCATTGGCCTCAAACGTATCCACTGCAGGGACCATGGCCCTCTTGAGGTGCAGGGGCCCTGCTGGGAGGTGGCAGGACATGAGCCATGACTGCATCCCTCTCACCCCAGCTGCAGGCTCGGGGCTTCCTCCAGCTGCAWGGAGTGGATGGGAGCCCAGAGATGCTGGAACAGGCCCAGGCCTGCGGCCTCTACCAGCACCTCAGCCTCTGTATCCTGGGTCAGGAGCCTCTGCCCAGCCCGGAAGGTACTTCCCCTCCTACCCCCAAYACTCCCAGATCTACCCCCTCACCTGTCTCCAAGAGAAGAGAACTCCCTTCTCTTACTGAGCCTCCACCCCCGCCCCTTGCTGAGGTCTCCATCAGCCCTTCTCCCTGGTTTCTCCACCTGGGATCTGACGTCAGCCCCACACTGGGCTGTACCACCAGCTCCTCCATGAGATCTGGGTCCTGCACATGCAGGTGTCAGACCTGGTCCCTCCCCAACCCCCACCCGTGTTGTCTGAGGCCATACCAAAAGCAAAGCACCCAACCCCATCCCCACCCCACCTTCCCTACACACAGGGACCTTTGATGCAGTGCTGATAGTGGGTGCCCTCAGTGATGGCCAGGTGCCCTGCAGTGCCATACCTGAGCTCCTGCGTGTTGCCAAGCCAGGTGAGCCCTGCCAGCCCCCCCTCCACTCACCCACCTTCCCCTCTTTACACCACACAGGCCTCAGCACTCCTTGGGCCAAGTGAGGACAGGGTCCTGCTCAGGACTGCCCAGCTGACCTCCCAGCCCCCAGCAACCAGCCCAGGGTTCCACTCAGTGGCCACCAACAGACACAGGTGCACCGGTAGGGCTGGCAGATGGTCAGCTTGCCTCTTATCTATGGCAACCAGGAGCAGCACCTCTCTGGTCTCTGTCCCTTCACCTGTGGGGAGGGTGGCATTCTGCCAGTGATCCCTTCTCCATTGGATTTCAGTGACAATTGGGTAAAATCATGTCCCTAAGGCCTTTACTTCCCTCCTGGCACAGGGGAGAGGCTCCCTGCATGTCCCATGCATATCCCTGTACTCCAGCTTCCTCATTCACTCCTAGACTGCCCGAGGGTACGTCCCTGTCGAGTCTGCCCAGGCAAGATGAGAGGTGATTGTGAACACCTCTGAACTCTGCACACGGGGTAGATGTGCAGAGAKCGATGTCAGTGCCCCTCCTGTGCGCTCCTCTGCTCTGGGCAGAAGATACWAACCCTGCCCTCTGGCCTCCACCACCAACCCACAGAGCCTGGGGAGGGGCCCAAGGGGGCCCCATGAGGGTTCAGCTCTCCGAGGTTGAGAGGAGAGGTATTCCAAGGGCTGGGAGGAGATGTTCACCAGGAGAGCAGCCTGCGAGRGGTCACGAGCAGAGCCACATGCGTGCAGGCACAGCGCCTAGCGTGAGGACCAGGAGGCTCAGGCCGGTTGCAGGACAGAATCAGGAAGTCAGGAGGTGAAAATGCTTCCTCTTGCTCTGCCCTCCCCAGCCCGGCCTCAGGGCCCAGCTGTGGCTGTGGTTAAATCTGGGCAGGTCTGGGCAGGCCTCAGCTTCGGGAAGTCCCCAGGCCCACACGCAGGACATGCAGAAACATCGGTGGAGTCACGGGGCAGAGGTGGAGACTGGGCTCAGAAAATTCCCATCGCATGAACCAGCAAGGACCAGGCCTCCTGGTCCAGGCCTGGTCCATCCTGGGACCTCAGATTCCTCAGCCAGCGGAGCCCTGTGCACTGGCCCAACGCAGCACAGGTGCCCTGCCCCAGGGCTGTCCTCTCACTGTGCCCCACCAGCAGCTCCACGCTCCTCCCAGCCCCTCCTCCAGGAATGTTCCCRGAAGTGGCCATTGGGTCTTCCCCTTCTCCCCTTTCAAGTGCATCCAAGGCCACACYGGGCACATGTAGGTGCCTGGACTGAGGGGACAAAATCCCTCCTCCCTTCAGCCAGCACTGCTGACTGCCAGGCATTTTGTGCACACACTTCCTGTGAAGCAGGATAACCAGCCCCTCTCCACCTGCTGGGCCCCTGAGGCTGGGAGAGATGAAGGGACTGCCCAAGGTCCCAAACTCATGTGCTTCTTTCCTGAGCAACCTGACTCAGCTCTGTCCCCAGCAGAGGCGCTGGGTGAGCAATGAGCAGAGAGCCCCTTGATCCCAGGGTGAGGTCAAGAATTCCCACTCTAAAGGACACTCGGGCCTGGAAGGGTTCGTGGGAGGCTGTCTAGGTGAGGAAGCTCAAGGGCATGCCTGGAGAAGTGACAGGAACCCCAAAGCTATGGAAGGGGGAGAAGATGGGCCAAGGAAGAAGCTGGAAGAGTTTACAACCTTGCAGAGGCGAGTGGGGAGGGTCAGGCCTCCCCGGGACTCACCCTGCTTGCCTCCTTCCCCTCCTGCCCTTCCCCAGGTGGGCTGGTGTGCCTGACCACCAGGACCAACCCATCCAACCTGCAGTACAAGGAGGCACTGGAGGCCACCCTGGACAAGCTAGAGCAGGCTGGGGCCTGGAAACGCCTGGTGGCCCAGACTGTTGACCACTGGGAGCTGGCCACCTCTCCACTTGAGGTGGCACCCGGCGCCAAGGATGGCTTCATCTCGGGCATCATCTACTTGTACCAAAAGCAGAGGTCTCCCTRATGGAGGGAGTGAGGCCCAGTCACAGCTCCTAGAAGGCCTCTGAGCTTCCAAGTGACCTTAGCCAGGCCCGTCTTCTGGTCCTCTTTGCTCCATCTGTAAAATGGGACCATTGTATCAAACCTGCCCCTTAAGAATGTTCTSCCTATTAAATGAACTCCCAGAAGTAACAAAAAGACTTGTGGTTCTGTAGTTACCGACCCCAGGAGAGAGGGACCTCAGTTCCTGGGTTTCAGAACCACAGACCTTTTGCATCCTACCCAGTAGGCCAATCCTACTATTAGGGTGGCCAAATACGAGGAGGCAGAGCCTCTGGACTTGTCTGCCTCCCCTGGGCAAGGTGTATGGATGTTGATGGAATGAGGGAAAGAAAAAGGGGTGTGAGCTGCCAGGCAAGGGGACTGTTGGGGAGGCAAGTGGTGTCGTTGGTGGTCTTCGCRTGTCTAATCAGATGTCAGGGTTCTGTTGCTGTTTTGAAGGACTCGGGGTTGAACCCAGGGGTGCTCTACCACGGGGCCACGACCCCAGCACTTTCTATTTTTTTATAGAAAGACAGGGTCTCCCTACGTTGAGGAGGCTAGCCTTGACCTTCGATCCTCTGCCTCAGCTTCCTGAGCACCTGAGATGACTGGTGTGCACCACCACACCTGGTAGTCAGGGTTCTTGATAAGACCTAAGTTCGGAAAACAAAACGGCAGCTTTAACGTGACCCGAGGGTGGAGTTTTGGCACTCTGATGTCAAAAGGTCCCCTTGTACGGTTCCTTGGTTTCAGCCACTTTGAGTCAGACAAAGTAAACTCCAAATACCTAAAAAACAACCAACTGAAAACATTGTTGTGGGGTGGGTGGGGGTGCGGGCTGGGGCTGAGCGGTAAAGTGCTCACCTAGCACGTGGGAGGCGCAGGGCTCAATCCTCAGGACCACATCAAAATATATAAGATAAAGGTATTGTGTCCAATCAGAACTAAAAAAAATATGTACATATTAAGAAAAAAAACAATGGTTGCCATTGGTGGTGTCATGGCAGTAAAGCTAACAGGTCTATTCTGTTTTCCTCTGAGTTTCACAAGGAAGAATATTGCTCTTTGGGTTTTAGATTTTAATTAAGAGGCTGGGATGTAGCTCAGTGGGAGAGATCCAGTCGCCAGCACTGCAAAGTAATATGGAGCATTATAATCATCAGAATAAACCGTAACTAGGGACCAGCCTGGCCAACATAGTGAGACCCCGATTTGCTAAATAAATAAAATTAACGAGGGTGGGAAAATGACAAACACCATTACAAGGAAAAAGTCTGTTCCTTCCCTCGCCTTTCATTACCCGGGTTACACCTGTGGATTCAAGAAGCAAGAAGTGGCTCAAAAGGCCCCACATACACCATCCCTGAGCCAGGTGTGGCGTTGAGACTTCTCCCAGGGTGCTGGGCCCGCTCACCCCTAACTTGCCATTGAGGAAACTGAGCCCAGACAACATCAGAATGTGCCAGAAGGATCCAAGTCATGACCAAGTGGTGCTGAGCACTGGCCCTGTTCTGGGGTCTGGAACCAGAGGTCCCCAGCTATGGGCCTGGGCCCAGCCACACTTTTTTTTTTTTTTTTTAAGAGAGAGTGAGAGAGAGAGAGAATTTTTTAATATTTTATTTTTTAGTTTTCGGTGGACACAACATCTTCTGTTTTTTTGTATGTGGTGCTGAGGATCGAACCCGGGCTGCACGCATGCCAGGCGAGCRCGCTACCACTTGAGCCACATCCCCAGCCCCCCAGCCACACTTTCACACACACAGGGTTGGGTTTCCTCATCCATAAAGGGACTGGAATRCCAAACTCAGGGTGTGGCTTGGGGGCTGCTCTGAGCAGGGGCGGGTGAAAGGACTTTGGTGACTGTCAACASCTTGGGGACATGAATGTGGCTAATGATGATCCCTCCAATCCGGGGCAGGCTGTGGGAAGGCTTCCTTGGGGAGACTGCTTGGAGCTGGGCCTTCAGGACCAGCAGGATTCCGAGGGGTGGAGAAAGAAAGAAGGACATTCCAGACCTTGGGCAGGGACCCTCTGAACAAAGGCCAGGAGGTGGATCCTGCCTGGTGGCCCAAGGAGGACAGCAGACCAGCCCGGCTGCCCAAAGCTGGGCCACAGTGGAGGAGAAAGGGGTAGAGGTGGGTCTCCCTCATCCTTCCGCCTTAAGTTCCCAAACTTTCTCTAGTGTCCTGTGGACGGGGCCTCCCCTCTCACAGGTGAAGGGCTTGAGTGAGGTGGTTCCCAAGGTTGGGCCCGTTCCAATTTCCCACAGTTCCCTGACACCAGTCTTGAAAATGCTCATGTCCTGGCCACAGCATGGTGGTCCTGACCCTTACCCTCCAGCCCGCCCTGCCCACCTCCATGGCTAGAATCACAGACAGTACAGAACCTTCCTGTGCACAGGTCCCATTTATTGTAGAAAATAATAATAWTGACAGTGATGAATAGTCTCTTAATTACAAAACAGAAACATCAAAGGAGGCAGGGGAGAGGCCAGGACTCCCTCTGGTGAGGCCATTTCCTCTACCCTCCCCAGCTGGCCAGTTCCTTGGCAAGGGCAGAGGACTCAAAGGAGCCAGTCTCAGGGTTCTGGGGTGCTTCTGCTGAGAGGAGTGAGACAGCAAGCCCCACGAGCCCCACGGCAGCAGGGTGAGGMCGGAAGGGGTGAGGGTAGCCAGGCCAGAGGGCCACCTCTCTGGCGCTCCCTGCCACTACCCAAACCAGTTTATTCCACCTAAACCTGTCGCTCAAACCTGTCTATCCACTCTGTGTTCCATGCCACAGCAGGTGGGTGGGCAAGGCCCACACTTCTCCACAACCACAGGTTCCCGTGACACAGCCCCAGTGGCATTTCCTGGCCACACAGTCACCCACAGTCCATCACACCAGTGCCTGGGCAGGGCCAGGAGTGCCCAGGAACACRGGAGACAGCGGCAAGAGAAGCACTGGCATCACCCAAGATGTGGGCAGAGGGAGGGGGAGGGTAGAAAAGGGACAGTGGGAGGTGCCAGYGTGGGCAGGGCACCCACTTGGAGGYGGAGCCCAAGGTCAGGGCCGAGCTCTCCTGGCCAGCAGGAGCCAGCTGCCGGTTGCACCTGCTCTGGATCTAGGGTTCTTTCAGAGGAGGGTGGCCTGAGACTGTCCATCCTCGCCAGTGACMGGAGGCCTTGGGAAGGAGCCCCAGTGGGCGGGAAGGGCTTCCCGCGGGCTGGGTCCTGCTTGCCCATYCCCCAGCAGCCAGCAGCCCATGGCAGCGCTGTCCCGGTGTCACGGCTGCTCCAAGCTCAGTCCAAGGGAAAACAAAGCCGAAAGGGACAGGTCTGGGTGTCGCCTCACACGTAGTTGCTGGCCGGGGCGGAGCGGGCKGCGGAGTACTTGGCGGAGTAGGGCTTGTCGGCGCGGGGCGGGCAGTTGCAGCAGAGCAGGGCGCCCCCCAGCAGCAGCAGCCCCGAGGCCGCCCAGCCGATGTAGAGCGCAGCGCCCATCTCCCGCTTCTGCCCCGCGGCCACCAACGGGTTGTAGAAGTCGCGGATGATGTTGTGGGCCGTCCAGGACACRGGCACCATCACCAGCAGGCTGGCCAGCAGGAACACCACGCCCGCCACGATCATGGTCTTGGCCTTGGTGGTCTCATCCTCCACGCAGTTGGTGCACTTGCCCCCGACCACAGACAGCAGCATGCCCAGCGCCGCCACGATGATGCTGATGACGATGAGGGCGCGGGCCGCCTGCAGGTCCTGMGGCAGCGCCAGCAGCGAGTCGTACACCTTGCACTGCATCTGGCCGGTGCTCTGCACCACGCAGTTCATCCACAGGCCCTCCCAGCTGGTCTGCGCCGTGACGATGTTGCTGCCGATGAAGGCCGTCACCCGCCACATGGGCAGCGCRCAGCTCAGTATGGCCCCCAGCCAGCCCAGCACCGCCAGCGCGATGCCCAGCACCTGCAGCCCCATGGAAGCCATGTTCAGGGCCTGCTGGGGGGAGGACCTGGAAGACGGTGGAGATGTGGAGATCGCTCTGCAGACTGAGGATGGGGTCCTCGGGTGGGTGGGGAAGGCCTTTTTCCCTGGGAGGTGGAAGAAGACACAGCCAGGTAGAGCCCCTCTCTGGAGAGTCAGATGTCCAAGACCAGCAATGTGACCAGACCAGTTCCTTCCTGCGACACAGGGCTCCCAGGCTCCAGGTTGAGCAGTTATATGACTCTGGCAGAGGGGCGGGGGCAGAAGGAGGGGTTTCAGTCGCTGGGGCCTCCCCCTGACCAGTTTCTCTGGATTCCTGAGCCAACAAAAACACATCAAGGCCCCAGCCCTGGGCCCCTGAGTCACCCTCTAGTCTCAGAGGAAACTGCCCTCTCCCCCTGCCCCCAGGTCCATGCTGAGGTCAGCCTGGAGACAGACACTGAGTCACAGCCCAGGGACACCTGATGTTCACAGGGTACAGATGTCGGGGAGGAGTGGCAGCCAGACCCAGCCAAGTACAGGGCATGAAGACCAGGGTCCTCGCGCCCACAGCTCCCCTTTCCAGGCTTGGGTGGGAGGAGAGGGTGGGGTCCCTCAGAGGGGGAATCTGAGGCGGAGTCCTGGGAATGTCCAAGAGAAACTCCACCTGAATACTGTCCTTCCTGATCTTATCACTTTCATTATCATCACCGTCATCATCATGGTCATGATGTGGCCTCAACGCAACCTCTGGGCATGGACCGGAGGAAGCTGAATTTAGGGGAACAGGAGCCAAGGGCAGAGACTCCTGGGTCCGCCACACACTGTCCCCATTCCCTCACCTGGCTTAGCCCGTGGAAGTCGCCTTGGAGGTGATACACTTTGGGTCAGGGCAAGAGAGAGGCCTCTTCCCACCGGGGTTCAGCCTGCTTAGCCAGAAGTGGGTGGAGAAGAAGCCACAGGCCAGACCCTGGAGACACCGTCCACCCAGTAAATGAGTGCTGACTGTGGAGACGCACGGGGCATCCCATGAAGCCAGATAGGCAAAGTCTTCAAAGGGAAGGGAGAACCCGGCCCAGGGGGAGGCAGGTGCGGGGCAGCTGGGCCATGGAGGGGTGCTGCCAGCATGACTCCAGGGGGGCCTTGTATCCTGGCTTAGGCCCCGTGGCAGGTTCCCTGGGGCAATTGTGTAAGGCAGCAGGACTGAGTGAAAGAGGACATTGCATAGAGGGGATGAGGGGATGGTAGGGAGGTGGGGAAATGCCGCTGTTTCTGGGAAATGAGGAATCCAGTCTGACCAGAGACCGGGCTTCTGGGGGAGGAGCCAGGGAAAGGGCCAGAAGTCTCCATCGCCAGTGCCCAAGCTCCAGCCCGGGCCCAGAGGACAGAGATGAGCAGGGGCATCCCAGGCAGGCTGAGGGGTGTCCACACACCTCCCAAAGGCACCTCTGGAAACAGGAAGGAGGCAGAGAGGCAGGGCAGTGGGCCCAGGATCAGGAAGGCCAGCCTTAGGGTGGGGGCAGAGGGGACCCAGAAGAAGGGGTGCACATGGGGGTGATTAGGAGTGGCTAAGACTCATCACAGCCAGATGGAGGGGCCCCTCAGCCTCTCCATGGTGGCTCTATGTCTCTCTCCCCCACCATGCTGGGAAAACACCTCAGGACCAGAGCCCCCACCTCTGTCCAGCACCAAGTCTGGAGTCCTGGGGTGACTGTGTGTCCTTAAGCTTCCTGAGAGAGTACTCGACTCCTGGAGGACATTGGCCCCCCTAATGCCCACTGGGCCTGGCAAGGACCCTGTGGGGTCCACCCATGTTATAGAAGGAGAAGTTGCAGCCTCATGGGGTCTTTAACTGAGCTCATTGGCCCTACTCGGCTGAGGGCTCAGGGGACCCAGCAATGCCTTATTTCTCCTTGGTACCCTGTGTGGGCTTTCTCGTCCGGAAGGTGCACAGGGCGTGTCTGGGGTTGGGATCATGAGGACATCTGCTCTCCAGCCACCCACACACCTCCCTCTCACCCCGTAGGGACACACACCAACACAAACAGGGATGGTTTCTGCCCGGACCACACCCCCGGGGCTTTCCTTACAAGGCTCTGAGCAAAGGCACAGAAGGCCTGGGAGCCACACAAGCGCGCGCCTTATTGACAAGAGCTGTTTCCTTTCCCGCTGGTGACCTCACCATGGCCTCCCTGTCAGTGCCCACCGCAGGGCAGAGAGAAGCAGGAGCTTGCCCAGGCCAGCCCAGGTCCCTTAGCCAGGTGCCCCTTCCCTGTCCTCCGGCCCAGACAGCTCTTTCTCAGGCTGAGTACAAAGGGGAGATGGCCAGGCACTTCCTACTGTCACCCTCCTGGGACACCTGCCAAGTGGCACTTAGAGAAGCAGGAGTGGGGGAGGGGAGCACACAAGCCCTAGAACTTTCCACCTGTAGCCCAACCGAAGTGACCTAAGAAACTGTCCTCTGCTGGACCCAGCCGACCTCATCAGGAGCAGAGTAGGGGAGGCTGGAGGCCACGGTTGCAGCAAAGGCTCCAGGAAGAGGCCAGGGCAGCCCAAGGCAGGGGAGGTCAGCAGGGAACAGGGGGGGCTGGGGACCCAGGTGTCCTGGGGAGCAGTGAGCAGCTCCGCTCAGGCATGGAGCTGGAGAGAGGTTGTGGGTGCTGACTGCTGCCCAGAGACATGGCTCGGCCCCACCCACCTGCCGCTAGCAAAACACCTGCTGAGACTGGACACTTCCTGAGCCCTAAGGTGGGGGAAGAAAGGGAAATTCACCTCGAGCCCGGCGCCTGGCCCTCTCCCCAAAGTGTGGACAACCCCTCACTGGGATGCGTTAGGATACATCTGCCATTTGCCACCTTTGTTTTGGGGTCACGGAGGGCAGAGCCAGTGCTTGTTATTTTCTTTTTCTTCCTCATCTGTAAACCTGTTCACAGGCAGCACAAGTTTAAGCCGTATTATCTGGGCTGCTCCTATCCTGGACACCCCTGCCCCAACCGACCCGACCAGCTCCGTCATTCCAGCCCTGGGACTGGCTCCAGTTTTAACTTCCCCCTTTTGCCGGAGGATTTCATAAAGGCCCACATTTATGTGTGAGCTTGGCCAGTCCCTCCATCTGTCTACCGTCCCCTATCTAAGCGGGATATGGAAGGAGGTGAGGACCTGATGGTGCTCCCTGAGCCAAAAAGCTGATGGGAAACTGCACCATCCACCGACCATCCTTCCGCCCTGTGTTCTTGGGAACATCAGCTTCGTCTCAGAGCCTCAGCTTCCTCCCTGTAAAAACGAGGACAGGGCCACCCGTTTCCTAGTCTCAGAGAGACGCTAAAGGAAATGAGGATGTGAAAAGCTTCCCGACCCTGAAAAGCTCAGGACCACAACTGGGAGGGAAGGAGAGAGGGAGGGAAGGAGGGAGGGAGGGAAGGAGGGAGGGAGGGAAGGAGGGAGGGAGGTTGGTTGGTTCCCTGCATGTGCCCTGCTGCTCAGATCTGGTCCTCCTCAAACACACCAGGAAGGGACTAGGACTTCTCACAGCCCTGTCCCTAGAGCCCAAGGTCAAAGTGCTCATTTAAATCAGTTCCCTCCCTGGTAATCCCAAGTAAGGGGCAAAGACAGTCCCCTGAGCCACCCTGTCCAGAGACTGGCGGGCCTCCCTGAGCAAGCCTGACAGTTCCTGTAGCCTCCTTCTCCAGGTGTCTTCTGGGGACAGGGAGCCTAAAGCCAGGGAAGCCGGTGTCAACCTAAATTTATTCCTCCCACCAAACACGACATCTTGATCCTCATAAAACCAAGCAGCTTTTTTAAAGGGAAAAAAGCAAGGAGGCTCGTTCTCAGCTCAAAAGCTCGTCTAGTTTGGAAATTGGTTCAAAACTATTTATTTTTATAGGAATTCGCTAAGTGCTCAACCCACGAACACCCCCAGCCACCACACACAGACGTTTCAATCCTAATTCTTTTTTTAACCACAGACAAAACCCGAAGTTATAAAAATTTTCAAAGTAAATGATGCATGAAGGGATGTCACAAAACATGCCAGAGATACCCACCCAGTCACTTCAGAGTGACATCCCTGGATTGTTCCAGAAGGAAGGTCACATGGACAGGAACAACAAATAGGCCATCACATCCAGACACCAGCCAGTGTGGACTGGCCGCTTCTCACGTGGCTCTGAGGGCAGCAGGGGGGATCTGCCCAAGGTGAACCCTGGGAGGGGGACTTTCGGAATCTAGGTGGCTCTCCTGTGAAGTGACCAGCCCTCCATGGATGGAGTCCAAGTTCTGCTACTACCAGTAATGGACATTGGGCAACCGACTCAAACTCTCAATCACTTTTCACATCTGGGACAGGAGGGTGGCAATTCCTTGCTCCTTCACCATGCTGGGCAGGTGCTGCCCCAGGCTGGGCCCCAMAGAGGCTGGGGGAGGGGTGCCACATCTCAGGTGCCTCAGAGCAGGTGAGGAAGGCCACACAGCTGTGGGCACTTCTTGGGGGAATGGTCAGGCAGAGGCTGAGGGGGGCTGTGGGGCCTGGGAGAACGGCCGTGGGAAGAGAAAGAGGCTTAAAGAGAGGAGAGGACCCCAAAGACCCATGTTAGACTACTTTCCCCCAAATTATTAGCTCATCTGATCTCAGCTTCCACCTTTTGATTTTATAAAGGCCCACGTTTATGTGTGACCTTGGCCAGTCCCTCTGGGTTGGGGACACAGACCGGTGAAGTCCTGCCTTCCCTCTTCTGGGGCCCCATCACCCCCCGCCAGAGCACCCAGAGCAGCCCTCCAATGACCTGCCATGTGGCCCAGTTACTCCTGCCTATCCCACTCCACCCACTGTTCAGCCGGTCAGAGGTCACTCCCTTATTTCACAAAGAGGCCCATCACGTCGCAGCAGGAGACCCCCCTCCATCTCCCTCCTGCTCTCCCAGAACCTAAAGCCCAGAAGAGCCTCCAGTCAGGTGAAGGAGGCCATCCTGCCCAGCCCTGCGGCCTTCCCAGCCAGTGAGGCCGAGGACGCGTCCATGAATTAGTCA